TATGTCTTAAATCAGTCTCTTTTGAGATATAAAATAGCAGATTAAGAAAGGAAGGAAGGAAGCAAGCAGAGATGTGGGGAGATAGATGCCGTGCCACATGAGATCTCCAAGGAACAAGAAACAGAAGCTGAAAAGAGACAAGGACCTTCCCCCAGAGCCAAGAGAAAGAGAAAGCCTACCCTTAGAGCCAGCACCCTGAATTCGGACTTCCAGCCTTCTAAACTGTTTGTTAAAGCCACCCATTTGTGGTGCTTCTGTTACATCAGCTCTATGTAACTAAGACAGACAGTAATCAAAGTCTCTCTAAAGGCCCAGGCCTCACCAGCTGTTCTTACCAATACCCCCAGGTGTTGTTGAAGAAATGGATGTCCTCTTCCCTTTTACTAGTGGAGTCTTACTACTCCCTTCTTCTTTTTAGAGCAGTTGGTATTCTTGCACTGACTTTTTACCTTCTTACTGCATCCTCTGAGATTTCTCAGTCTTCTAGCTCAGCGTCTCTATATCTAACAATTGTTTCCTTTTGTTTCAGGAAGCTTGATGTAGAGAGAGTGTGAGTTCTGGATTTTGATGACAGCTTAACTATTTTCTCAGCTGTGAAGATTCTGCATGGTTTAAACATAGTCAAATGCCCAGGCCAAATGACCTGTGTGTGTGTGTTTTACAGCCCACAGAAGCCTTAGTGAACTAACAGTGATCTCATACTTAGATCTGTTGAAACACTACAGAAGAACTTTTATGTAGAAGGGTAGGGACAATATTTTTATTTTTGACTAGACAGTTGTATAAATGTGTAAAATGGGGTGCATCTTGCATAACATTAATTGAACCTGCAGAACACTGAAGCATGCCTCCTCGCTGCTTATTTAGCACTTTAATGTCTACCTTTACACATCTGCAAATTATAGACTCATGGTCGTGAATGCTGGAATTAGTATTGTAACGCAGTTCCTATTATCCTTTGGGAGGTGCCTTCCATTGTGACCCTTTTCCCTCCTTTCTTTGTAAGAAACCAGGAAATAAAATGGAAAATCCCGTGGTAAGATAATTTTAAAGGTACAAACTTAAATACTTGTTACAAAAGTCAGTTCTCACAGCAACGTTAGCTTGCTTGTGTTGTTCCTGTGTGCTGTTATTGCTTAGCATAATAGCATACAAATGGTATCCTGAGAGTGTGTCATTATTCTAGCTCAGAAACAACATCTTGTGCTCTCACTTATGACTCTTCAGGTTGCAAGTAACAGAGACCCACTCACGCTAGCTCAAGAAACAGATTTATCAGAAGGCCCCAGTAGGTCCCATGGTAATCTAAGGACAGGAAGCATTTTACAGGTGGAGCTTGTAGAAGCTGGGAATGGGAAACAGAAAACAAGATGGTTTTCCGTGTATCTTTGCAGCTGAAGTTACCAAGTCATAGCCTCTCTGCCTCCCTCTGCCTGCTCTATTTCCCTTTCTGGCTGTAGACTGGCTGGCTCTCTTACAGCTTGGTGATGACCATGATGGACACTCCCTCCAGTCCTTCCTAGATTACGTTAACTCTCAATGTGTCCTTTTGGCTTCTTCCTTGCCAGATCATCCCAAGTGTCTCAATTCTAAATTTCCTCCAAATGAATTTAATTGGCTCAGCCCATCTTCTTGCCCATGACGACAAATTTTAGGGTTTTGGTCAACCTATAGATCGGTTGCACTTATATATTCTGTCCCCCTACTTTGCTAGTCTGCTTTGGTTTAGGGGGTGAGGGAGAGTCTATGGCCTAAAAAAAAAAAACTAGTGGTTCCCACTCGGTACAGGTTTTAGGTAGGAAGGATGATGTGTTGTATCCAAGGCATTATGACATACCATGGGAATTTATAGATAGGAAATTATATGAATATAGATTTTACCATTACTGCCCCCAGAATGTTTTTGGCTGATAGATGTATATGAGTCTACTTTGTGATGTTCTGAGGTTTTCAAGAAGCATAATGCAGTTTTTAATTACAACATTGACACACTAATTTATAGTGATACTTAAAAAATTCTCACTCACATGTTTTTTTTAGGAACCATACTGGGTCTTTGAGTTGGCTGCCTCTCTCCGGGCTCCATTATCCTCCACATCTTACATTTTCATAGTACTTTTTCTTAACAATACTGTCAGAATCTCGTGCTACTGGGCAGGCTAATACCATGAGGAACTAGCACATTTAGTGGGTTTGGGTTATTTCCCTGTTTTATAATGAATGGAAGAGCAGTGTTTAAACATCTTTAAGGGTGTTTATAGGCAGGAGAGTTATTGTGTGGAGAGTTATCGGCTTTGTATATCGCTAATGAAGCATCCTTATTAGATTTCAGCATTTGTTGATTTAAGTAAAGTGGCCTTAGAAGTTCTCGGCCAGCTTTGTGCTATCATGTCACTAGGTGGAGATGTAGTAGCATTGTTTGGTGGTGTAGCAGAAGTAGAAAGAGTGAGTCTTGATTTTTTTTTTTCTTTTTCCTTTTTAAAAAAGTAATCTACAGATATTTGGTGGTGGCATGGTGGTTAAGAGCTACAGCTACTAACCAAATAGTCAGCAGTTCGAATCCACCAGCCACTCCTTGGAAACCCTATGGGGAAGTTCTGCTCTGTCCTATAGGGCTGCTATGAGTTGGAATCGACTCGATGGCAACGGGTTTGTTTTTTTTTTATTATTACCTAGAAAAAATTGTAAATTTAGTATAATTCTGTATTTTAACTTTCTCGTTTAGTGTTTAAATTCAATCCTAATTTACTGTCTGCTTATTGTCGTTTCCTTTTTGCTATCTCTCATTAAATCATCTTGTCAGAGAGTCATTCTAACATCTGTGTCTGTGGTTCTTTATAGTGATTTAATAATTCTAAGGGTTTAATAAGGTAATGGGATTTTTACTCTGAGGTCAAGCAATTAATATGAAGTTTTAATTTGGGAGCAATGTGAGGTAAATGAACCAATACTTTAAAACAGTCTGAACATATCCTAATCTTACCTTTGTATTGTTTTAGCTTGATAATGTCAAATACTAACATTTAAATTTTCTAGGGCTTATATTTTTCCCTTTGTTCCCTCTTTTCTCTCTTCTTGAATCTTAAGCAAAGTGTCTGCTTTATGTGCAGTATCGATGTGGGGAACAAAAGAAGCATAAGCCTACCTACAAAGAACTGATATCCAGTTGAGAAAATTGCAAATGTGCCCATGAAGCATTTAAAAGTACTCTGATATCTGATCTTTAGAAAGTACAAAGGTGAAACTTAAAAAAAAAAATCTTATTGCTTTGGAAAACTGTCTGGCAATTCCTCAGTTAAACATAGAGTTACCACATGACCCAGCAGTTCCACTCCTAGGTATATACCCAAGAGAAATGGAAACGTATGTTCACACAAAAACTTGGACATGAATGTTCATAGCATTAGTCATAATAGCCAAAAAGTAGAAACAACTCAAATGTCCGTCCACTGATGAATGGATAAAATGTGGTATATATGTACAATAGAATATCATTTAGCAATAAAAAGGAATGAAGTACTGATACATGCTACAACATGGATGAACCTCAAAAACATTATGCTAAGTGTAAGAAGCCAGACACAAAAAAGCCACATATTATATGATTCCATTTATATAAAATGTCCGGAACTGGAAATCTGTAGACACAAAGTAGATCCGTGGTTGCCAGGGGCTAGAAGAGGGGGTAATGGAGAGTAACTGTGAATGCACACGGGGTTTCTTTTTGAAGTGCTGAAAATGTTGTAAAATTGATTGAGGTCATGGATGCGGAACTCTGCGAATATGCTAAAAACCTTTGACTTGTACACTTTAAATGGATGAATTATTTGGCATGTGAAGTATATCTCAATAAAGCTGTTTTTAAAAAGTGAATTATCATAAGGTTTAAAATTTATCAAACCAAGGAATATTTATTGATCATCTACATAGACACCAAACTAAATTCTGTGAGTTGCCAAGGGAGCAAAAGACACAAACCCTGATCTCAAATTGCTTACAGTCAAGAGAAAAGGCCCAAGTGAAATATATAGTACACTTTGCTTTATGAATTTTTCCCCATCCTTCTGGTTGTGAGAGCCTAAATTCTCTCTTCCAGCTATTTCTGTAATGGCCCTGATCTTGTTACCCTATGTCTTTCTTCTTTTCCTTTTAAAAGCTAACTATTGCTCCTCATACTTTGATAAATATCAGCCCCAACCTGTCACCTTTAACTAACTTAAAGGACATTTTAAAGCAATCGTGGTGTCTCCAATAACTTAAATTGTATGGCTCATGGAAACTCATTCATTCAGCAAATATTTATTGATGCTTAGTTTCCAAATAGTTCTGGTAAATCCTAAGACTGTTGGCATTATTATTTTTAAAATTTATAACAAATACCTTTTTTGCTACAATTCAGTCAAGTTTCATGGTGTTCAGAAATAGTCTTGAGTTCACAGATTTTCATGAAAAATACTTTTTTGGAGTATTTAAAAGTTATCTGTGTGCTTGATATAGAGCTAGCTATATTGTTATTAGTCCAGTATTTTAGTATTGAGACAATATTGTGGTCATTAAAAATATAAGGAAAGAAGAAGTTTGGTTTAGTCATAGTAATTCTATCAAATCCAAAAAACGGGCTTTAATTTTAAGGTGGTAGTTGATTAATTCTATCAGTTTAGAAATTGTCCTTGTTTGTTTTTTCTATTAAATTTATATATTTATGTATGTAATATATACATGCTTGTGCCCATGTTAAAGGAGCCCTGGTGGCACAGTGGTTAAGTGCTCGACTGCTAACTGAAAGGTTGGTGGTTTGAACCCACCAGCTCCTCCGTGGGAGAAGGATGTGGCAGTCTGCTTCTGTAAAGATTTACAGCCTTTGAAACCCTATGGGGCAGTTCTACTCTGTCCTGTAGGATCACTATGAGTCAGAATCAACTCCACAGCAATGGGTTTGGTTTTTGGGTTTTGTGCCTGTATTATTAGTACAGCAGCTAACCTCTTTTCTTTCTTTGCAGATGCTTATGAAACAGCCAAGATGCTGTGTGAACAGTATTACTTGGTAGCTCCAGAGCTGGAAGTTGAAGAATTCAATGGTAAAAGAAAGACAATTTTAACCTTAAATACAAAGAAGTTGACTAAAGAACTGATTATACTTGGCCTGTATTTTAGTGAGGTCCTAAAATTATGCTGCTTTTAAATCTCTTACATCTTTTAAAAACTTTCTCTGTACCTTTGGTCAACCAAGTGTATTGTTGTAAAGCGTTTTAGTACAGGAATGTGTAACGCATTTGACCCCAGAATTCTAGGAGCAGAAGTAATCAAGGTAGAAAATGCACAAAGGTAAAAACAGACAATTCTCAAAATAACAAATGCAAACAGTCAGTAAACATATAAACATATGGAAGTGTGTTTAACTTTACTAATCAAGGAGGTGCAAAACAGAAGAAGCCCACAGAGAACTGCCATTTTTGTCTTTCAAAATATCAATGATTAAAACGTTTTAATGCTTTGAATAGGTGCCCAGAAGAATACTCTCTCACAGACATACATTTCTGGTATACGTTTAAATTAGTACAGCCTTTCTCAAAAATACTAACAATATTCTTTCTCTTTGGCCTAGTAAATTAAATTAACAGTGATCATATTCTTCGGTCCAGTAAATTAAACTTCAGAAAATTTGTTATAAGAAAATAGAGATGTGCAGAGATTTATGTACTAGAAAACAACCCATTTTCCACAATATAAGATTATTTAAGTAAGTTATGGCACAGCCATGAGATGGAATACTATGCAACCATTCAAAATGCTGCTTTTTAAGAATTAATGCTTTAAAAGAATGTTCAATGTATGGGGAAAGCTGAGTTTTTTTTAAACACAGGCTAAGTTCGTTGGAAAATATTTTGAAGGATTTATACTACCAAAACATAAACAATAGCTCTCTGGATAGTGGGATTATAGTTGGTTTTTATATTATTCATATCATTCTATATTTGTGTACGTGTTTTTTAAAAATTTGCAAATTACAAGAGATATGCTCATTGTAAAAATATAGACAATACGCAAATGTAGAAGAATAAAAAGTAAAAGCCCCCACCTCTCTCAGTCCCATACAGAACTTTATATATAAGTAGGGTTCAAACTATACATGTTCTGTAACTTGTGTTTTTCACTTTACTTTGAAGATCTTTGCATGTATTAACGTCATTTATAGATTATCCGTAGTCTTGTTGTTATGTTGTTACACGCTGTTGAGTCGATCTCGACTCATAGCGACCCTATAGGACAGAGTAGAATTGCCCCATAGGGTTTCCAAGGCTGTAATCTTTACAGGAGCAGATTGCCAGGTCTTTTCTCCTGCGGAGCAGCTGGTGGGTTCGAACCGCTGACCTTTTGGTTAGCAACCGAGTGCTTAACCCTTGTGCCACCAGGGCTCCTCCATACTTACACAGTGTAGATTACCATAGTTTTATTTAACCATTTCCCTATGGGTGGACATTTAGGATTTCAAATTTTTCCTATATTACATATAATGAGCAAAGTGTTGCATATTTGTGTCTGTGTGTGTGGTGTTGTTGTTGTTGTTGTTGGGTGATGTCAAGTCAATTCTAACTCTTAGAGACCCCATGTGACAGAGTAGAACTGCCCCGTAGGATTTTCTTGGCTGTAATCTTTATGGAAGCAGATTGCCAGGTCTTTCTCCCACGGAGCCACTGGGTGGGTTCGAACCACCAACCTTTCATTTAGCAGCCAAGTGCTTAACCATTGCGCCACCAGGGCTCCTTGTATGTGTGTATATAGGGTGGGAAAATCTCTGAGCATGAGGAAGAATATCTGTAGGTTAGATTCCTAGAAGTGGAATGACTGAGTCTTAGGGTATGGGCTTTTACAATTAAAGATACAACCAAATTCCTTTCCCCATAGTATACCAAAAATGTATTTCCCTTACAATGAGATAAAGATGTAAAAAGACTTCAGACTGCTGTTGAAGGACAGTTGCTTCTACATTCTGCTAGAAGGTATGAAATCAAAGCTGCTTTGAATGTCTATTGGACTTGACTTGAGTATTTGTGATTAGAAGCATCTTAATATTCTATTTCTTCCTGCTGGTTAGGCAGGACCTGACCTGTCTAGATTTATATTTGTCAAACAGTGGAAATTAAATTCCCAGGTAGTAACAAATTATGGTTTTGCATTAATGGCAGCCTCACTCACTCTGAAGTCCAGTGCAACAAGCCTGTTCTCGCAGATTCCTAGATGCCAACTGTGTCAGCCCGTTCACTCCCAGTTAAGGCTGTCACGCTGGGCAACTCACCCACCATGGGGGGCCTTTTACAGCTGTTTTGGCAATATCTCATGAATGACTTTGGAAGCCCCTTTACCATCACTAAGATAACTGAATGTTGGTTATAATAAATCCAAATTATATTTATGATTTCTTGATGCCAAAGCTCTTTGTGAGCTTGTTTAAGGAACGTGCTTTAGCTCTAACAAATTCTGTGTTAGAGATAAAGGCCGAAGGTTGGTTCTGAACACCATAAGTAGATGTTGCTGCTTTATAATGAGAGAGAGACAGATTCTCCCACATTATGACAGCTGACTCTGTTTTCAAGGGAGGAGTCAGATCCAGATTCTAAATGGATTCATTTTCAGAGCCAGTCTAACCTAGCATAGCATCTCCTTTCAGGATGCTTTTATTATACAGCAGGTGTCTTTGACAGTCATTGGATAGAGTGGTACCACTTGCTGCTTGCTGCTGTGGACTTCAGAGTGAGTAAGGCTACCAGTAACACAAAAGAATAATTGGTTACTACCTGTGAATTTAAGTTCCATTAGTTCAACATATAATCTTTTGTTTCTGGTTTTCAGTTTTTTCTTTCCCAGTCTAGACCCCTGAGAGAGCAGTAACTAGGATTATGTAGAACCTACTGTGGGAACACCATCATATTCACCAGTAATCGCTAGAATTCTGAATACTGGCGGCAAGCTATAGTAAATTTCCTTTATTGTCCCTTCTGTAACACTTTTAACAGGAGTATTAGAATAACAGAATTTTATTTATCGTATACCAGGTTTCAAATCTTTCTGACTTGCCAGACTTGGGACAGCTAAGACTCATGAACAGTACTTGCATGTCTTCACCATCCCTAGATTAGTCTTTCCTGTCAAGAGATGGTTCATAGCTATGAGTTTGGTGGGCAGCATCAAAATTTTAATTCATACTATGTATATTTTGTTATAAGAGTGTTCATAGAAAAGGTACCCTGGGATCTTTGACCTCTAGTTTCCCCACATTGGATACTTTTATGGGTACTTTCAGTCAAGTGGTTCCAGACAAAAATTGAAGAGCCATTACTGGTGGTGGTGGTGTTGTGTGCCATTGAGTTAATTCTGACTCATAGCAACCCCATGTGACAGAGCAGAATTTTTTCACAGGATTTTCTAGACTATAATCTTTATGGAAAGGGACCCACTTGGCACAACAGTTAAGCACTTGGCTGCTGATGGAAAGGTTGGAGGTTTGAACCCACCAGCCACTCCTCAGGCGAAAGATGTGGCAGTCTGCTCCTGTACAGATTACAGCCTTAGAAACCCTATGGGGAAGTTCTAATCTGTCCTACAGGGTTGCTGTGAGTCGGAGTTGAAATCAACTCAATGGCAACAGGCAGTCTTTACAGAAGCAGATCACCAGTTCTTTTGCCCACGGAGATACTGGGTGGGTTTGAACTGCTAACCTTTTGGTTAGCAGCCAAGTGCTTAACCAGTGTGCCACCAGGGCTCCTTCCACTACTGGTAGCTCTGCTAATATTGTAGAAATTAATTTTTAGTAATAATAATATCCAACATTATTGAGTGCTTACTATGTGACCGGCTCTGTATAAACTAGTTTATCACCATTATCTCATTGAATCCTTATATTAACCCAGTGGGATATATACTGTCCCCATTTTAGAGATGGAACGCTGAGTCCCGGATGGGTGAAATAACTATTAATATAGCCAGTTAAATGCCAGAGTCAGGACTTGATCCCAGGTCTGTCTGACTTTGAGCCACACTAAATACTGCCTCTAACAGCCTTTGGGAATTGATTAGCCATCTTTAAATGCCCAGCTACCTTTTCTCTTAAATGCATTTTTTTTCTGTTTAGCCTTTTTTTTTTCCCACTCTTATAGGAGAACTATCTGAAAATAAAATTCCTTTTATCCTAGGCAGAATTCTGTTGGTATTTATTAAATGTTTTCTCAACTAATGGTAAGTGGAGCAATGACTGTGCAAACCAGAGAGTGTTATTTATCGAGTCATGAGCATAAAAAACCTGGTCCGTTTTTTCCATTGACTTTTTAAAATGTCCCCTTAGATAGAAAATTCATATCCCATTTATGTCTAGTTACAGAAAGTCAGCAAATATCCATTAAGGGTCTACTACTTAATAGCCAGTGGACCCAGAATTAGGGAAGATTCATGGACAAAAACATTTGACATCGTCTTAAAAGGAATGAAAGAATCTAAATTGCACTGTTCCCAAGAAAAGTATAAGTAATTGAGCAAGCCTTCAGACGGCGTCTAGAAAATGTTGAATTGAAAAAAGCGATAAAAGGTATTTTAAGATTAGGTTTCCCCTGAAATTTGGAGTGGAAAAGTTGAATTCATAAAGATGTTTATATAACTAATCCTGCATTTGGGTACAAGATAGGCTAAGCACTCAGCTTGCTCCTCAGGCTCCATTAAAATAGCAGTAAAGAAATACAAAGAAAACTAGCAAAAGAAAAGGTAGGATAGGGTGGTCATCAGGTGGACTGCCACTCCCAACTCCTGAGAGAGGGTGGCCGGATGGAAGTATGCTGATTACTGGAACAGAGTAGAAGAAGCCACAAAGGGAGAGGCTGCAGCAGAAACGGCACCTGATTTCCCAAAGGTTAAACTTTGGAGAGACTCTGGGAGCAGAGCTGGGAGGTGCCGAGGACTGGAATGAGAAGGTGGAGCCAAAAGGCAGGGGGCTAACTGAGAGCTGGTCTAAGGAAGAGCATGGAGTGTTGATGGCGAGCTGGTTGACTCTGGCTGGGCTTTGCCTACAGCTAGCCAGAGGCATTTTCCCCTGGGCAAAAATAAAAGTACTCTCTTTAAGGGACTACCTGGGAAGAACTCTGATTGTTCACGTGAGTGTTAGTGTCCCAAAGTAAAGCTCTCTTTGTTTAAGCATTTGGGGACCCTCCAGTCAGAGACTACATGCTCATCCTAAAGCCTGTTGAAACATCTGGAGCATGTACCCAGAGCCCTAAGTCAGCCTTCCCATTTAGGGGAAATCCCCAGAGGGGACTGGAACACCAGCTACCTCTAATGATCAATTGGTTCTTTATTCTTAAACAAAAATATCACAGCCAAGGTATGTCACTGCCAGAAGACCCTTTTCTTAAATTCTGAGGGAAAATGATTTTGAACCCAGATTCTATACCTAGCCAAATCTTCAAGCAAGGGAATCAGATGTATAAGGATTGAGAAATGTGTCTCCCATGCACACCATCCTGAGGTAGGTTACCTGACTGACTTGACAGTATATATAATATGGATATAAGAAATAGTAAAAAACATTATAGAACTTTAGTAAAAAGATGTAGGATGACTGTGAGGCACATCTAGAAAGCAATCTATTCTAATTTGAAAAATCTTGAAGAACAGAATGGATACCATGCAATAGAGTAAGAAGCTGAATGATCTTATAGATATGGTGAAGAAAGCATGTTTCTTGTCCCAGTTACCCAGAAGGAGGCTGTACTATAGTTTCCTGGGGCTACCGTACAGATTACCACAAATGAGGTGGCTTAGAGGAGCCCTGGTGGTGCAGTGGTTAAGCGCTCGGCTGCTAACTGAAAGGTCTATGGTTGGAACCTACCAGGGGCTCCGTGGGAGAAAAGACCTGATCTGCTCCCGTAGAGATTACAGCCTTGGAAACCCTATGGGGCAGTTCTCCTCTGTCATATAGGGTCATATGAGTTGGAATCAACTTAATGGCAGTGGATTTTGGGTGGCTTAAAACAACAGAAATTTATTCTTGCATAGTTCTGGAGGCCAGAAGTCCGAAACCAAGGTGTCAGCAGGATTGGTTCCTTCCGGAGGCTCTGAGGGAGAAATCAGTTCCATGCCTCTCTTCTAGCTTCTGGTGACAGCCGACATTCTTGGCATTCTTTTGCATGTAGACCCATCACTCCAATCTCTGCCTCCATCTTCACGTGGCCTTACCCTGTGTTGCTGTCTCAAATCTTCCTCACTGTTCTAAGGACACTAGTCATTGGTTTCAGGACCCAATCTAAATACAGGATGGCCCTTAACTTAATTACTTCTGCAAAGATTATTTCCAAATAAGATCACATTCACAGGTACTAGGGGGGTAGGACTTGGACATACCTTTTTAGGGCCACTATTCAACTTGCTACAGAGAGGTAGTTAGAAACTCCAGGAAAAGTTGAAAACTGTATAAGAAAGATACAGTCCAAACATTAAGCAACCTACAAAGGTTACCATAATTTCGAGCAGTTGGAAACGTATGAGGAGAATCCATTTCACCTTAAGCCTGAGAACATTCTGTTTCAAGTGACACATGAATTATGTCATTGGACTCATAGGAAAGGAAATGTTGTCCTGGTACCTTGTGGAGGCCACTCTGCAGTGATCAATATTTACCTAGTTATAATATTACCAACACTAACACTGTTGATTTTCAACTTTTTGAAGGAACCTATAGGCAAGGCACAGAGTACTTAATGTTACAGAGCAGAATGTAAATATTGTCAACCAGAAGAACTAAAGCATAAATAGTAAAGATTTATGATTTACTGAAATGGGTCTGAGGGGTGAAATGGGAAAGGATAGAGGGACTTTCACTTTTTTCTTTAAAAAAATTTGTAAACCATTTGCGTATTAAAAAAAAAACAAATCTGTTGCCAGTGAGTCGATTCTGACTCATAGTGACCCTAAAGGACAGGGTAGAACTGCCCCATAGGGTTTCCAGGGAGCGCCTGGTGGATTTGAACTGCCAACCTTTTGGTTAACAGCCGAGTTCTTAACCACTACGCCACCAGGGTTTCCAATTGCATGTATTACTTATAATTTAAAAAAATAATGCATCATCAAAGGGTTTGGGATTCAGAACCAAAAGATCTTGGTTCAGATGTCTAGTTTCAGCACCTTTTCTGTTATTTGGGCAAGTCACATAGCCTCTCTAAAGCCTATTTCCTCGCCTATATATATTCCTTCACCTACATTGTAAAACCAGTTTCAGCTGGCTTTGTAAAATGCCCACCCTTATGAACCACCCAGTTTTGTCAAAAAGATTAAATTGGATAATATATTGTGAAAGCTTTGTAAACAGTTATGTATCAAACATGTTAGCTCTATATTATTATAAATTGCTTTATTAGAGGAAGTAGTTGAAATTATAACATGGATGGGTATGTCTGCCTTCTAGTTGAGAAAGCTCATGTAGTTTCAATCTCTTAAGTGACTTCGGGTCATGAGGAGGAGGAAGGACTAAACTTTTGAACACCTACGGTATGCCCCACGCTGTTCTTAGTGCTTGACACGGAACTCAGCGTTTCTCAGATTTTCCTCAGGGGATCCCTGATGCAAGGAGAAAGGACTGTAGGTCGCCGGGACTAGTTGCTAACAGAAAAAGTTATGTGAACCTTACATTCTGCTCTGTAATATGCCTTGTTTGTCATAATTTAACATTTTCACATTGCTGGTTAGTCCAGTTCACCAAGAAGCTGTGCCCATTTTCTCCTGTGGCTTCACAATCCCTAAGCTTCCCACTGGGGTAAGTGGTGGAAAGTGTTCCTCAACTTGAGAAACATTGAGTGATATTTGGATGATCTAATATAATTCCCAGAACATTATGACATAGATGATAATATTCCAATTCTGCCCAGGAAGAAACTGAGCTTCAAAGAGATTGAGTATTTTGTCCACAGTCATATAGCTGGTAAGTGAAGGAACTGGAATTTTAACCCAAGTTTGTTCGATTCCAAGGTATATGCTTTTTCTTAGCCCTGCCTTTAGTGGTGGAAATTGAAGTTAGCCTTTCATAGAGTTCTTTTTTACTATACTTGGGAAATGGAATGCCAAAGTCATTCTTGACTTCTAATTTGGGTCCTTATTCATTGATGGTTTTGTCTCTGTTTTCAGCCAAAGCTCCAGACAAACCTATTCAGGTAGTTTATGTGCCCTCACATCTGTTTCACATGCTATTTGAGTTGTTCAAGGTAAGTGGAATTTAAAAACATGGAAAGAAGTCTTCATTTTAAATTGCTTTGATTCAGGACATAATGGATTCATTAGATTACCATAAGAAAAAGGTTTTGCATAACCATTTTTAAAATTCTATTTCTGATATCCTGTGGGTTTTATAATGTGTACACTGTGAGATGAAAAATTGCTGTGTACAGTATAGTTTTTGTGAATATTAGTACATACTGATTTTGAGACTTAATTGTGCTTCAGTGATTTTATGTAAAATCCATACTGTTTTTTCTTCAGTTATGAGATTAGAGATGCTTTTTAGTTTCCAGCCCTGGAAAAGGCTTTATTTTTGATGGCCAGATCAAAATAAAAACATGTTTATGCATATTTATGCGACTGAACGTTAAACATGTGGATGCATTAGTAATTGTTCCTGTCCTGAGAGATACTGTAAACCCTTTACGTGTTTCATTCAATTCAGAAGAACTGACAGAGGCAGAGAGGAGAGATGTGGAAGAGCTGGACCAAAAAGGGCAAAGAGAAGACTCTTTACACTCTCCAGCTTAAAGCTGTTGCTTTTGTTAACCAGTAGTTACAGTACCAGTAGTACGCCTTTACAGTAGCGGGATTACAAGCACAAGGCATTTGAGCTAAAATTTCATTCCTTCCAATGTGTAAGACCCTAAATTGAGCACCTGAAAAATCAGTTATGCCATTTGCTTCCAAAAATTATAATGTTACTGATGTAACACTTTAAGGTTGAGATGGGCATTCAATTGTGAACTTTCTCTTCAACAGCTGTGGCTTTCTCGGAATTTCTTTTTAACTGATATTTCATCTTTTTCAGCCAAATGATTAATTTTTATGGGAAGCATGAATCTTTTCAGGCTTTCTGCCTCCTTTAGAGGAAAGGTGCTCTATAAATGCAGGCTGATAAATAGGATTTAAAGTGCAAAAATCAGCTTCCGCAGCCTCATTACTTGTGATAAAAACATTCCTTTCGGGTATAGAGTTGAATAATTTAAATACTCTAAAGCAAAAAAAAAGAAAAAGAAAAATATTTAGCGTGGTGGGTGGGGCTCAAACTAGATGAAAAATAAAATGAAGTGTCAGGAATTTTTCCTTGATTCTAAGACATGTTTAGCTAAGCTCTTTGGAGGGGGGAAAATGCCATATAAATCCAACTAATATTTGCCCCATAAAAGAATTGTTATGTATAAGTAATCTCATGCTATCTTCTTTTTATAAATTGTGTGAGTCAGTGGTATGCTAAAAAAAAAGGTCTTATTATTTTAGAACTCAATGAGAGCAACAGTAGAATTATATGAAGATAGAAAAGAGGGCTACCCAGCTGTTAAAACCCTTGTTACTTTGGGTAAAGAAGACTTATCCATTAAGGTAACTGCTTTATTTGTGTTTATACTTTAATTATCTGTTAATTTAATACGGAGCCCTGGTGGCGCTGTGGTTAAGAGATTGGCTGCTAACCAAAAGGTCAACAGTTCAAATCCACGAGCTGCTCCTTGGAAACCCTATGGGGCAGTTCTACTCTGTCCTATAGGGTCGCTGTGAGTCGGAATTGACTCAATGGCAATGGGTTTGGTTTTATGGGTAGGCATTGAGAAATCAGAGACAAGAGAAGAAAACTGACATTTCTTTATTGTCTTATTTGTAAGTACCATGCTAGATCCTTGACTTAACGTTACCTCATTTCAACCGCGTTGTTATGTTGTTAGATGCCATGGTTTTGGCCCTCGACTCATGGTGTCCCCATGTACAATGGAACGAAACAGTGCCTGGTCCTGCGCCATTCCCATGATCAGCTGCCGATCAGACTGTTGTGATCCATAGGGTTTTCATTGACTGATTTTCAGAAGTAGACTTCCGGGCCTTTCTTCCTAGCCCAGCTTAGTCTGGAAGCTCTGCTGAAGTGTGTTCAGCATCACAGCAACATGCAAGCCTGCAGTGACAGATAGGTGGTAGCTTGCATGAGGTGCATTGGCCAGGAATTGAACCCGGGTCTCCTGCATGGAAGGCAAGAATTTTACCACTGAACCACCAATGTCCCCTTCAACTCCATTAGAACTCCATTATTCAGGGAACTAAGGTTGAGACTTCAAATCCAAGCCTGTCCAATTCTACTGTAGTACTCTGCCTCCTTGTTTAACATGGTTCAAAAGGAGCCATATTTCACTGGGAGTTCAGCGCCCTTGTAGGTTTTTAGAGCTATCTGGTATGTACTTTATTTAATGAACTCAGTGTCTCCTACTAAGTATAAATTGACTTAAAATTTTTTTTAAACATTTTGTATATTGCAGATAAGTGACCAAGGTGGTGGTGTCCCACTTCGAAAAATAGATCGTCTTTTTAACTATATGTATTCAACTGCTCCCAGACCTAGCCTGGAGCCTACAAGAGCTGCCCCTTTGGTAAGCATTTTAAACTGCTGCTTAAGGGAATATCAGTAACATGCAAAGGGACTTGGAAAGAGCTGGCTGTCTCCCCAAGTTGTTGCACTATCCTTGTTGAATTAGAGTATTTCCTGTATGGTTTGGAGGAGGGAGAATTTTATGCCTCTGCTACTTTTCTTTGTGGCTCCTTTGGACTCAGATTTCTTCTCTGATTCCTAGCTAAGAAACACTCACAGCTGAGTGCCTCATTCCTGAGTACTGAGAGAAAGCACTTCACTGTGGTAAAACAGCTACCAGAACACAATTTACTACCTAGAGCTACCCTTAGAGGGAAGGCAGTGGAAGTTTAATAAACTCAAAAAAATAAACCCATCACCACTGATTCTGACTCATGGTGACCCCATGTGTGTCAGAGTAGAAATGTTCCATAGGTGTTTCAAGGCTGTGACCTTTTGGAAGCAGTTCGCCAGAACTTTTTTCCAAGATGTCTCTGGGTGGATTCAAACTGCCAACCTTTTGGTTAGCAGTCAAGTACTTCGTCCTTTGCACCACCCAGGGACTCCTGGAAGTTTAATAGCAGATGAGAAAAGGAACAGGCCATGGTGCATAGCTGCAGCTTGGTCCTGGGCACTTGGGTGAAGCACATCATCGAGGCCAACATCACCTACAGTCTTTAAACTTCTACCATCAAATGTGTTGGTATAATTAAAATGTTAAATTATGAAAACATTAAAAATGTTATATTAAATAACATGAGCACGAAACATGTAGGTGGTGTATGCATTTTCAGAGTCCTTTTCATCTCACTCTTGACGTCACCTTCAGCCCTCCTAAGTCAATGGAAAAACCTCTTGTTACCATGGTAGCATTTAGAGCCTGGTAGGGCTGCACTTTGTTCCCCTGCTGAGTGTTTCTAATTGACAAACAACAATTGAACCCTTTGTCATTAAACACAGCAACATATATATCAGTCTGCAAAATGGTTCAGGGTATAAACTAAGTTTCATTTTAAAGTACTGCCTGAGTGATAAGCACCTAAGAGTAGATTTTATTTGTATGAATAAAAATCAAACACTTTGCATCATTCATTCAAGACAGAGTTGGTTAACTCAGCATTGTTGAAAACGGAGGGGAAATCATTTATATAGGATTCAAGAAAATTTATGAAAGATCAATTTTGAAAGGCATTGCATTGACCACATTCTGGTACCTACTTAAATAAACATCAAAAGAAAAAAAGACACTACACTGGGGTCTTAAAAGCTTTTGAGCGGTCATCTAAGATACTCCACTGGTCCCACCCCATCTGGAGCAAGGGAGAATGAAGAAAACCAAAGACATAAGGGAAAGATTAGTCCAAAGGACTAATGGACCACAAGTACCACAGACTGAATCCAGCACAACTACATGGTACCTGGCTACTACCACCGACTGCTCTGACGGGGATCACAATAGAAGGTCCTGGACAGAGCTGGAGAAAAATGTAGAACAAAATTCAAATTTACAAAAAAAAAAAGACCAGACTTGCTGGTCTGACAGAGACTGGAGAAACCTCAAGAGCATGGCCCCCAGACACCTTTTTAACTCAGTAACAAAGTCGCTCCTGAGGTTCACCTTTTACCAAAGATTAGACAGACCCATAGGACAAAACGAGACTAAATGGGAACAGGGGCAAGGACAGGAAGGCAGGAGGGGACAGGAAAGCCGGTAATGGGGAACCCAAGGTTGAGAAGGGGAGAAGGTTGACACATTGTGGGGTTGCAACAAATGTCACAAAATAATGTGTATTAGTTGTTTAACGAGAAACTAATTTGCTCTGTAAACCTTCATCTAAAGCACAACAAAAAAAAAAGAAAAATAAAATGAAATTCAAAACAAGTGCCAAAAAGAAGAAAAAGAAAGAAAATAAGACACTGCAGACATATCTAGAGCCTTCTCCAGTTGTTTAATAGGAATATGGATTATCTGTTCTAGGTCTCAGAATAGCCTTCTGAGGATAGCTGTTCTGTCATACTGTTTTATTGTTGTTTGTGTTTTTAATGAAACTGAGGAATTGAAGTAAGGGACCTTAAAAAATTATGTATCCATCCTCCCCTTTTATAGGTGAATAAGTGAAATGGAAGCCTAGAGAGGTTAGTATCTTGCCCAGAGTCGTTGGGCTAATTAATAGCACAGCCAGTACTGGCCAGCTCTGTGTTCTGGCCAGTGTACCATGCAGTGTGTCCTTTTTAAGGAATGCTTCCATTAGCATCTTTGCCAGTTAGTAATCTGTCTCAGCTTTAAAGTGGGCGCGCAGATATGTGCTACTAGAAAACATAATCTCTTCCCCAGACAACTTACTCTTACACCTCTGTGCCACTCTGAGTCCGAATTGACTTGATGGCAATGGGTTTGGTTTTGGTTTTGAGCCTTGACACATCCATTTATTTCTTTTTGGGGAATGTTCACCTAAGTAACTCCTGTTGATCCCTGAGCCCTGGGAAGGCACTCCTGAACTCACCAAGTCTAAGCTAGAGGCCCGTCCCTCCTCCCTCCTCCCTGTTCCGTAGGAGGGTACTGGAATGTTTTTCTTGTCTCTAAACTCTATGAACTACAATGTACCAAAATATTGATATATATTCCCAGAACCCTAGGAAGTAGCTTTTGTAGGAAATTGTTTTCTTTTCAGTGTTTCTGCCTTCTCACTGGTAGTTTTGAACTCCTGTGCTGCTAATTTTCATTTTCACTTCCAAGAACAAGGGAATCTGATTGTGAAACTTGGAAATGATGTGGTTTAGTTTTGGTACCAGATCGAATCCCACTTGATTAAAAAAAAAAAACAGTCAAAATTTGGAGTATCCTTATTATTTTCCGAACATATGAGAAGTGTTTTGCGGGGTGAAAATTAGGGAATTGTTTGCCATAGATGCGCATATCTATCTTTGTAGAGGCAGAATCAGTAATTTATTTGATTTAAATCTGATTCAAGCTTTTATTTTACTCGTCTCTGGATAGCCCTCATGCCAAACGTGGGAGTATTTGCACCTGTCTTACTGTATGAATTTTCTTTTCTCAATAGGCTGGATTTGGTTATGGTTTGCCAATTTCACGCCTGTATGCTAGATATTTTCAAGGAGACCTGAAACTCTATTCCATGGAAGGAGTGGGCACTGACGCCGTCATTTATTTGAAGGTACTGCATTCTTGTTTCTGTTAGTATGAAGGCATCTTTACTTTCTTTGTTTTTCTTAATTGTACTTTAGATGAAGCTTTACAGAGCAAATTAGTTTCTCATTAAGCAGTTAATACACACATTGTTTTGAGACATTGGTTGCCAACCCCACAACATGTCAGCACTCTCCCCTTCTCGACCTTGGGTTCCCTGTGGCATCTTTACTTTTTGAAGCTATGAGTCCTAAGAAGTGAGACCACCACTATATCTTCTCTTACGTTCAGCTCAGATTTACTTTGGTTTTGTCTGAGAACCGTGTCATCTCCTTCATTTTATGCTCAGATATAGCAAAAACATGAAGCATGTTTAATAAATTATTAAAATGTTAATTTTAAAACAATAATGCTAAATTGTGATTTTTACAAATTGCACATCCATTAAGAGGACTAATCTAAAAAGAGACAGGCTTTTATAAACTGAAATCTTTAGTCTTTTGCTTTAAAAACTTGCTGGCTTTCCCAAAGTTATAAGAATTCAGTGTTCATGATATGATTATATAAAAGATTGATCTAATAACAAAGTTCTCTGTAACTTTTTCTCATTCATTGGTGGTGTTAAACTTTTATTTCTAAACTCTAGAATATTTGGCATATTTTGAATAGGTAATATAGGCACCAAAACCCGTTGCAGTTGAGTTGATTCCGATTCATCGCGACCATATAGGACAGAGTAGAAGTGCCCCATAGGGTTTCCAAGGAGCGGCTTATGGATTCAAACTGCCAACCTTTTGGTTAGCAGCCGAGTTCTTAACCACTGTGCCACCAGGGCTCCAATATAGGCACATAGTACACATTTAAAAACTACAAAAGGGACAACTTAGGTCTCTAATTTCTTTAGCACAAATGTTAGTGACAGCACTTTGTTTTTGTATTTGTTTTTAACTTGCCAGTATATCTTGGCACTCTTTCCATATCAGTTCATACAAAACTGACTAATTCTTTTTAACATATGTTAAAAAGTATTGTATTAAAAAGTATGTTACTATATATTATACCACATTTTAGCCAGTTATTTGGAGCATTTATTTTAAATACCAATGCTTCTAGATAATACGATAGTTGATCTCACTTGATGGGCTTATGTTTATATGTCTGATATGTATAAAACTTTATTTCTTCCTGGGCCCTTCGGGAGAGTAATTGCCCAGTGAATAATGGTGTGTGGTCTAACACCATATATTCAAGACAGCTGAGCATCTCAAAGCAGTATCAACTAACTAAAATGCCTTTTTTTCTGGTCATGTGTACTTCAGTGCTGGTTTTGAATTAGTGAATGTTTTTATTCCTTTAAAAAATGCTTTAATTTTCTCCTGGCCAGTCTAAGTAAACTACTAAAATATAATTTTAATACAAGTTGAAAGGTATGTATTAAGGTATCTAATTTTTTATAAGGGAGCCCTGGTGGTGAGTGGTTAAGCACTGGGCTGCTAACTGAAAGGTTATCGGTTCGAACCCACCAGCCACTCCGCAGGAGAAAGATGCGGCAGTCTGCTCCCATACAGGTTACAGCCTTGGAAATCCTGTGGGGCAGTTCTACTCTGTCCTAGGGGGTTGCTATGAGTCAGAATCGACTTGATGAGAACAGGTTTGGTTTTGGGTTTTTAACTTTTTAAATGGTAAAATTTAGGTTAGTATTTCACCTGAGGAAAAATAACACTGTGGACCTTTGGTGTATGTTTTTGTTTTTCCAATAGGCTCTTTCAAGTGAATCATTTGAGAGACTTCCAGTTTTTAATAAGTCAGCATGGCGCCATTACAAGACCACACCTGAAGCTGATGATTGGAGCAATCCTAGCAGTGAACCCAGAGATGCGTCAAAATACAAGGCTAAACAGTAATTTACCGCTTTGATTTCCATTATAAAATATCTGATTTTTCTCCAGAATATATGAGCCAGATGATTGATATCTTTCAGCTACATCTTCTTTGCAGTTACAACTGGAAAAGCAAAGTGATCCTAGAGAAAGAAAGATTGGAGCAGACTTTTCACTCGAGAAAGGAAGGATGGCAAGAGTTGGGTAGCCAGAGTAGCCACATTGAGGTCCCCTGTTCTAGAATCCTTGCACCAAAGAGCTGTTAAAGGTATTAGCAGTGAGCAAGGATTTGTCCTGCCATGAATTTTATTTAAGAAGTTATTAATTTGCAATTTGTCATCATCCATAGAGGTTTACAGGAGAATGTGTAAAGAAATTTTGTGGGTTGAAGCTGAAAAAATAAAGATATTAAAATTATCAGTTAATTGCAAAATAATGAGTTTCACTATTTTATAGTAATAAGGAAAATAATCCAGTCTTTGGTTTCCAGTTTTTTTTCTTCTGACAATACTTAAGCCCCAACTCTATTAGCAACAGTAAGGATTTTTTTTATTCATTTAATTAAAAATAACTATTAATATAAAATAGTATATGTGAATTGTAAATAGCTAGAAGATACAAACAAGCAAAAGAGAAAAAAAAAAACCCTCTGTAGTCCCACAACCCAGAGATTACCAACCACTGGTAAAGCTTTGTTATGTGAATATATACAAATAGCAAAGTATCTGAGAGGAGTATCTGGGAGTATCCTCCCAGATACTTCGCTATTTGTATATATTTTTTTCCAAAATGAGACCATACCATTCATACGGTTTTATAAACTGCTTTTTTTTATTTGACCATCTCCACCTTTTCATGTCAATATATTTGCATCTGATATTTTTAGTTCTATTTCAGCGTTGCAGTGTTTCTTCTTAATTTAATTGAATATATTTCTCCTTACCCTGAAAACCTTGATTTTTAACATACCTAGCATAATGCAATAGAAAGGTATTTGTATTGCAATTAACTGATAATTTTAACTTCCCCTGATTTGTCCAAACCAGGGTTTGTTACAGGACCATCTAACACATCTGGTTATGTCTCAGAGCTCTGGTGGCGCAGCCCCTAAGAGGTCGGTTGCTAACCAAAAGGTCAGCAGTTCAAATCCACCAGCCGCTCCTTGGAAACCCTGTGGGGCAGTTCTGCTCTGTCCTATAGGGTCACTATGAGTCGGAATCCACTCGATGGCAATGGGTTTGGTTTTTTGGGGGGTTATGTCTCAAGTAGTTTTTAATGTAGAACAATTCTTCTTTGCTGAGAGACCATGCCAGTTGTCCTGCAAAATGTCCTGCCTTGATTTGTTTGATTTCTTCTTTGAAATGTCACTTCACTTGTTCCCCATTCCCTGTATTGCCTGTAAACTGGAAGTCAAGCTAAAGGCTTGATGGATTCAAATTAAGCGGTTTTTTTTTTTTTTTTTTTTGCTAGACTGTTTTGTAAATGCCATTGCAGAATTACGCTGATATCTGGTTGATGCACCATTAGTGATGTTAAGATTGACCATAGTCTAGGTGTGTTCCCTCCATGGTATTTTCCCTTGTCAACCAGAAAGTAATCTGGATGGTGTTATTTTGGCACTGTATGAGTGTACAGTTACCCATCAACCATGCATCTAATGTTTTTTACACCAATTGATAAATTTGGCTCGAATCAGTAATTTTATTACAGTTTGTAAATGATTTTTTCTAAGAATATCATTCCTTTGGCTATCAGCTGACACTTTCCTGTAAAGTAAAGCTCTTCTTCATCAACTAAACCAAACCCATTGCCGTGGAGTCAATTCTGACTCATAGCGACCCTATAGGACAGAGTAGGACTGCCCCATAGGGTTTCCAGGGAACGGCTGGTGGATTCGAACTGTGACCTTTTGGTTAGCAGCCGAGCTCTTAAGCACTGCGCCACCAGGGCTCCTAAGACCATTTAGGTACCTTGAAATTACAGTTCTTCCTGGCAAGCCAGGATAAGCATTTAAATCTTTCCCTTTAATTACCAATTTTCGAGGTAAGAAATTGATTAAAAGCCACCTTAAATGGTGACAGATGAGCCTGGCTTTCTCTTTTCTGAGAGTTATTATGGGTATTGTAGATTTTTCTTGCTTTGATATGTTTCAGTCAGTACTTACTGAAGTATAACATGTGTATGGTAAAGTGTACAGATCTTAAAGTTATAGCTTGATGAATTTTTACTATATTTCCAGCACCCCAAAAGGCCCCTTCTTAGTCAAACTTCCTATCCTCCCTGCCCCATGTACCCATTATTCTGACTTCTATCACCATAGGTAAGTTTTACCTCTTGAACGCAACATAAAAGGAATATATAGTATGTACTCTATTTGTGTCTGGCTTCCTGTGAGATTCATCCATGTTATTGCGTGTAGTGGTCATTATTCTTTCGATGCTAAAATTGGCACACCTTTGGCCAATGAGAGCTATTTCAAGCTGGATCCTGTGTGTTTCACAGACAAAAAATCCTTAATCTTTGAAAGCTTGCTTGCTTTCTGGCCCATGGCAATATCCTAGACTCATATATCTTTCCTGCCCCTGTCCTGGAATCAGCCATTTCCTCCAAGGAGCCCTGTTTCCTTTTAAAAGGTATTACAGACCCTAATCTGGGAAGTTGGGAGTGCTCACTATACCTTTTCTAGGTCCTTTTTCTAACCAGAGCTATAAAAATTATATACAGGCTGTCCCTGGGTTACGAACGTTCAACTTACGGACAACTCCTACTGGTCCTTTAATGTTATGTAAATTTGCCCTCACTTTGAAACCATTGAACCAGCCCCTACTCACAACAAATTCTTCATCACAATCTCTTACTTCACTTGCTGCACGTGCAGCTTTTAAATCATTGAAAAGGCTTTGAACCTTTTCTTGCACTAAAGTACGGCTAAATAAGAACCATATGCATGTATTCTGACTTACCTACAAATTCTTAAAGACACAATCAGAAATGGATCTTATTCGTAACCCGGGGACTGCCTGTATTTAAATCCTATTTTCATACCGATATTTTTAGTTCTATTTTAACATTGCAGTGTTTCTTCTTAATATATTTTAATTGAACATTTTTCTCCTTACCCTGAAAACCTTGATTCTTAACATCTTTAACATAATGCAATAGAAAGGTATTTGTTTGCAAATATATTTTATATGGCATTGCAATTTTGTATCAGTTTAGTAGCATTGGTCTTTTCTGATGAATGATATAAAGGGCATCTCTACTGATGGGGGAGCCCTGGTGGCACAGGGGTTCAGAGTTCAGCTGCTAACCAAAAGGTCGGCAGTTTCGAATCCACCAGCTGCTCCTTGGAAACCCTGTGGGGCAGTTCTACTCTGTCCTGTAGGGTCGCTATGAGTCAGAATCGACTCGACAGCAATGGGTTTGGTTTTTGGTTTGGTTTATACAAGGCTTCGGACAGGTTCCTTCCAGTTTGAACCCCAGCTGAGAATTTTAATTTCTAACAAGTTCCCAGGCGATGCTAATGCTGCTGGTTAGGGACCAGTTCTGAGAACCACAAGTAGAGCAGTGGTTCTCAAAATTTATTATACGTAAGAATCACCTGGGGATCTTGTTAAAATATAGATTCGGATTCAGTATATCCGGGGTGGAACAAACTGGTTCTAAGCCCTGGTTATATACTATTGTGATTAGGTATGAATCTTAATTTCTAATACGTTATTAGGCAAACAAATTTTATCAGAAGGCAGTTTTTAAAATCCTAAAATGCTTAGCCTGACAATTAAAATTGTTAAATTATACAAATAGGATCTTGATGGAGATTTGGGGGAAATATTTATTAGGTATGATAAATTCACTAGATGGTTATACATGAGAAATTCTAAGAAAATTTATTCTCTAATTAGGTTTTTTAAAAATAAGTTTTACCGAGATATAATTCACATACCTTAAAATTCACCCTTTTAAAGTATACAGTTCAGTGGTTTTTAGTATCTTCAGGAGCTCTGGTGGCACAGTGGTTAAAGTGCTTGGCTGCTAACCAAAAGGTCAGTGGTTCGAATCCACCAGCTGCTCCATGGGAGAAAGATGTGGCAGTCTGCTTCCATAAAGATTCACAGCCTTGGAAACCCTGTGAGGCAGTTCTGCCCTGTCCTGTAGGGGCACTATGAGTTGGAATCGGCTCGACAGCAGTGTTTTTTTTGTTTTTGTTTTTTTTTTGTTTGTTTGTTTGTTTTGGTATATTCACAGAGTTGTACAGCCTTCACTACTATCTAATTTTAGAAAATTTTCATCACCTCAAAAAGAAACCTCATACCCATTAGCAGTCATTCCCCATTTCTAATCAGGTTTTTAACTGAGAGTAAAGAACTGTTTTAAAGTATATATAAGTAATTAAATGGTAATTCTTTTTCTGTAGGAACTATAGAAAATAATCCTGAGAACAGGCAAGAGTTTTTGAAATATCACTATAACTAAATGCTCTGAGTAAGTTCTGGCTAAACTAGAGGAAGTTGTACTCATAAACTCATTATGGATATTACTGTTATTTCTTTGTAGGGACAAGATCAAGACTAATAGAACTTTGTAGAGAACTGAATGCTCTGGTCCTCTCTGTGAAGAAAGACCATCTTCTGCAAGTCAACCAGAGAGAATTCCTTTCCTCTACCAACTCTGAGAGCAGAACCATAGTTATTCCAGTGCTTGAACATGTATTTTCTCCATACCAGCTGGACCTTTTCCATGGAGCCCTTCCTGTAGCTACTCCAGCTCTTCCACAGAAACTAGTAATTTGTAAATTGAGTAACTTTTCGTAGTACTTTGCTGTGTTGTGATTGGCGCCTGGCACACGAGAACACGGAGCCTCCAGAGCGCTCTCATGTCCTCATACCCTCCGCCTCATTATCATAGAGTCAGGTGTCTACAGTCTTCCCAAGATTCCAAGCTCCTTCCCCCTTCCTGACACAGAAGATATCTACTGTTGCTCTTTATGACCAAATACCATGTTTGTCCCAAACCACCAACTAAGGCCTGAGGAATCTGGAGGTTGAAGACATCAGCTGAGCATGTCTTGATAATTCAGTCCCAGAGCCCAGCTTCCCTCATATGCATTTCTCTTCCACTCTTTGGTTTAGACTCTTGCCTTCCTCCATCTCGTATTCTCATTGTGAGGTATGGGTACTTTCGTGTTAGATCTTATTCATCAATGCATTGATTTTATTTTAAAATTCATTTGTATATTTCCATTCTGTTGATTAAAGTAATCCAAAAGTCGTCTTGGACTTTTTCACTTAACTGCTTGGTTTCAAAGATCTTAAGTGAAAAACTGCCTTCTGATCGGTAGCAAGTTTGTAAAGAGTAGAAAGTAGAATTTTTTGCTTATGTAAAGACTTAACCCATCTCATAAGGGACTTTTGTCATATTCTTTTCCATTGTAGTCTTCTAGTCCCTGTGTGGTACGCTTTACTAGCGGTAAGATGGACTATTGAAGGGAAAAAGTTCCATCTGGTTTATTTTGAAAATTGCCCTAGGTCCTCATAATTTTCATTTTCATTGATTTTAGCCAGTTTTAGAATGGTCAACTCAATCTGATTTTCACAGTCTTTTGCTTTTTAGCTGAATGTGGGAAGTGGAAATTGGCAGAGGACTTGGGGTAAGGAAAGAGGAGTCGTATTATATTTACCCTTAGAAACAGAAGCTATCTGAGAGTCCATATTAAAATCAGCATTTTCCACAGCTCCACAGGATGTGTTTCTCTTCACTGTCATTTCTCATATGTATTCTCTATCCTGACTTCTCCCCTCTTGTAATGTCCATATAAATGTGTTCAGTCCAGTTTTTAAGTATTACAGCCCACTGATTTAAAACTTTTAACTTGTCTTCTTCATTCTTTTGTCATAAGATAGTGTCGGTGCAGCTGTCGCCATGGTTAACATGGTGGGGGATTTTTCCCTGGGAAAAGGTGTGCTCTGACCAGCTGCACCTGGGTTGATTACATCGTTTCTCTTAGTTGCACTGAATCTGATTTTCTTTCATATCATTATATTACCTGAGCTCATGGTAGTTTCCTTTCACCTTTAGAAAGCTCTCATCTCTTCCATCCTTAGAAGCATCTCATCAGAACTCATATCTATGCAGTCAGGTAAAAGGACTGTCGATGTACTTTCTGATGGCAGGGTGGTCCATGTGGGGGCCATTGTTGTGAGAACTAAGTCGGTGTCCTAGGAATGGGGCTGTTCCATATGATTATTTTCTTGTTGTGTAAATGATGTAAAAATAATGGTCCTTCACATTTAAAGACCCTAGCTTCCTTGTAAACATTAGGTAGTATATTGGTGTCTTCCTTACTAGGCCTCGGTTTCAGAACATACTCATTTACACTTCCAAGTATGATACACTCTATAGGCGGGGGGTCAGCAGATTCAGTTAGTGTTACCTGTTGCCTTGTTCTGTCATTATTTTTATTATGTGATTGAAAAATGTTCATTGATCATTTTGCCCTCACACCACCACCATGTAAAGGTTGAATGTGGAAAATATGAGGTGGAAAAATCCTATTACATTCCTCCCTTTACAAGTCTTTTTCAAAAGTAAAATTTTTTTCAATGTTTTAGTAACTTAATTGGTAGACCTTTTCTAATGTACTCTTCTTATGTATACCCATCTGACCCCAGTACAATATTCCTTCTCCTGTCTTTGTTTTCTGTATTTAACTTTGCTCTTAAAGCAACCACAGGAAGAGTTCCAGAAACATCTTGTATTCTAACAGTTCTACTAGCCCTTTTACCCAAGTATTTATCTCTCCTTTTTGTTGGCTGTACTGATGAAGGCACATCCTTCTGACTGTTTGCTGGGTTTGTCTATAAGAAAATCGTCAGATTTCTACATACAGGTTATAATATAAATAGACATTGCCCCCTTGTCAGCTAAATTTGGTTAGTTCTCTTCATTCCTCCTTTTTCCCTCTCTTTTACTGTATTTTATTTTAAGTATTTGGGGACCATGCCTACTGTTTGGAATAGTGCCTGGCATGTGGTAGGTTTCCCTATTTCCACCAGACATCACCCTAAATATTAGTTGAATCAAAGAATGAAAATTGACAGGCATTTATTTAGCTTGGGTGATGGGGCATCATCTTTCAAAGTTCTTAAACTGTCCTTGTTTCCAATATAAAAATAGTTCAGGTAAAGAGCTGTGGAAGTACTGAATTTCCTTCTTATAGTACGAAGAAATGACTTTAAAATGTAGAGAAATGGACGGAAGTAGGGAGTGATCCACAGGAGCCATCAGATCTTTTCTTTGTCTCTGAATATCTGATTTTGGCTCCTTAATATACTGGGTTCTTTCCATCCAAACGGAGACATGGTTTTATAGCCTGGCTTACAGATTACAAAGACCCTTCACATGCGCCATCCTTTTGATCCTTACAACGCTGTGAGGTGGACCACGCAGGTATTCTCTGTTTTTCATGTGAGCCCCAAAGCAATTAAGTCGTTTTCCAAGGTGGCATGGTAACTAAATGACCGAACCGAAGCGGGTAGTTGGGTCTTCTCCTTCTTAGGCTGGTGCTCTCAACAATGCACCAGGTAATTAGCATTATCTCTCTTTTGAGGAATTTCTTGGGTATATTAGCGCTGAAGGGTAAGCTATAAACCAAAACTTTTATATAGTACAAGATAATTCCATTCAGGAAAGATTTTCTTTTGTGTGTTTTCATTTTGGCATAGTTAGTAAGAGGAGCTAATTGAATGGATTTGGCAGCTTTTACCTAGAAAGACAGGCAACTTAAAGTGTATAGCTGTAGGTAATTACTATAGTTATTTAGATTTAATTCTATGTTTGAATGAATTCAGTACTCACTGCCAGCCCTTTCATACAAAGACTCCACATTCGAGAGTTGATGCTTTTATCCTTGGGTGGACTAGATTACAGCTTCAGTTAGATTTTCTTGTATGTGCACAAATGTATTTCTCTTGCCATTACTTATGAACAACTTGGTTGGCTGTTGGATTCTTGGGTCACATCTCTTCTCCCTCGATTCTTTGGAGATACTGCTTTATCGTCTTCCCGTGTCTGGTGGTGTTGGGAGGTGACCTGCTTGTCTGCCCTGGATACTTGTGATTTTTTGTCCTTGAAATTCAGTAACTTCATTTGCGTATGTCTCAGGATTGACAGTTGTCTGTTGCCTCTTCCTGGCACGCAGTGAATAGCAGATATTGACATTGGGGCCTTACTGCATTTCATATTGGTTTATTCTGTCCTTATGTTGGCTCTCTTGGAGCCCTGGTGGTGCAGTGGTTAAGAGTTCAGGCTGCTAACCAGAAGGTCAGCAGTTCGAATCCACCAGCTGCTCCTTGGAAACACTATGGGTCAGTTCTACTCTGTCCTGTATGGTCGCTATGAGTCGGAATCAACTCTACAGCACCAGTTTTTTTGTTTTGTTTTTTTTATTGGCTCTCTTATCTATCCTTCACATTTATCTTTCTTTTGATCACTTTCATCTCCTTGTCTTTCTTCATGCTATGTATAATTTTTTTTCTCAAGCCTTACCCTCCATTTTGCTGACTCAGTTTTCTACACTGATGATTCCAGTGCTTGATGCTTGTAATGTGGCTTTCACTTCTGTTATAGTTTTCTTTTTTATCTCGGTTCCTTTCCTGAGCTCTGCCAGCTTTCCCCCACCTCATTATGTTATCCTCTTTGATTCCCTATTTCATTTCTTTGAGGTCTGAATGGCTTTGTCTACGATTTTCTTGGTTTCTGAAACCGCTCTTTTTCCAGAGTGTGTTTAACTCTCTTGCTTCTTTCGCTCCTTTCTTGGCTGTTTTGTTTTTATGTTGTTGTACAAGTATCGTGATGACTTTAGCTGCTTATTATTTATCTTTGAATGGAACCGTTCTGTCTGCCCAGGACTAGTGTGGAAAATCCTCCTTGACTCCTCCATTTTTGGGTGGGAAGTGTTTGAATGATCATCTTAGACCTTGAACTATAAGGCTAGATATTGGCAGATTGTAATGTTGGAGATGGTTTTGGGGTATGTTGTCTCTGAGTGCCTTCTATGCTGCTGAATCCTATGCCCTGGATCTGCCTGGGCCCATTGGGGGACAGGGGTCTCGCTTGAGTTTCTTCATTTCCATCAGACATCACCCAAGCAGGAGTGTAGTGGGTCCATACTTCTGCTCTGCTGGATCATATATAGTCAGCATTTGTGTGGTTGGCTCCTGAGTTACCGTTTCTCTCCTCTGCTTCAGCTCCACGCGCCCTTCTTGTGTCCGAAGGAAAGCATTATGCATCTGAGATTTCGCCTTCAGCCCAACCAATCCCCTGCTCTTTGTTTCTGGAAATGTGCCCACGCAGAGTGCACTTGGCTTCTCCTGCTGCCCGTCCTTTTTTCTCCAAGTTAAGAAATTATTGGTAGAGTCCTTTGGAACCCTCTCATTAACTGCCCAGTAATTATGGCCTGCTTGAGACTAGGAGAAATTCCTGGCAAATATGAGAATTCTTCTTTAATTAGTGCCAGCTTCATTGTATCTGTCAGACGCTCCCCTACAGTCCATAGTGTGGGGTTGGGGCTTCTATCGGCTTCATCACAGACAGCTTGTTTTTCAATTTTTGGGTGTGTGTGTTGGAGGGCAGGAGTAGTTATATAAACATGCATTTATTCTGCCATCTTTCCCAGCAGTCCAGGTGCTTAAACATTGACTTTGAAGATAATGTCCTTCATAGTTTATATGTTAGTAAGCAGAGGGAACCAATATTGCTAGCAGGAAAGAACCATTAACTACTTAATCAATACAGGATTTTTGTTTATTGTTCTGTGTAGAAAGATAACTTTTAACCCAGGTTCCTGTTCCCTTGATTAGAGATATCAGTACCTTCTGGTTTGAAAATAGGGATCATGTGAGATTTTAATGAATGTTTGAAGCTATCAACCATAGGCAGTTATTAATTCATTAATTAAATACAATAGCGTATTTCAGAATAGCACAGAATCAGAGTTGTCAAGAGAAGTATGAGCTGTTTTTTATTAGCAGGTTGTTCTTTAACTGTCCAACTGAGGGTGTTAACCCTTCTGAGAGCTTTACTGTGACATCTTTTCCTATCTGTCTTTTCAATCAAACTGTTCTGTTGTTGCCGTCAAGTCGATTCCTACTCATGGCGACCCCATGTGTGTCAGAGTAGAACACTGCTCCATAGGGTTTTCAATGGCTGATTTTTCAGAAGTTGATTGCCAGGGCTTTCTTCTGAGGCACATCTGGGTGGACTCCAGTCTTGCGGTTAGCAGCTGAGTGCGTTAGCTGCTTGCACCACCCAGGGATAGAAAGGTGTGAAGTCCACATCAGGATTGCTTTTGTTATTCACAACTGTATGTTGAAATGGTCTGTTGGCCTGGGGCTTGCTATAGCAGCACACGGGTTAATGTGTAGAAAGTGCATTTACAGGTAGAGCACGGGGAATGCAGCTTCATTCAGGTTGGAGGTTTGATTTGTCTGTTTGTAGGATTCAGGAAACCCTGGTGGCATAGTGGTTAAGAGCTACGGCTGCTAACCAAAAGGGCAGCAGTTTGAATCTACCAGGTGCTCCTTGGAAACTGTATGGGGCAGTTCTACTCTGTCACATTGGATCACTACGAGTTGAAATCAACTCGATGGCAACGAGTTTGGTTTGGTTTGGTGTTTTTCCTCAGGGACCAGCCCATTCCACTAGACAGCCAGCAGCAAACTGCTCCCCTTCAGAGCTCTAGCAGAACGGCCAAGGAGCATGTGTGACAGCTTGCTCCATGCCCCAAGCCCTCCTATGCTGTACCTTCCCCTGCGCTCAGAGTCTGCCCTTGTCTGTGCCTGCTGTGAAATGCAGAATTGAACATGGGCACCTACGTGTACGAGAGACTAAAGAAGCCAAGGTGGGAGACAGAAGCGTCATGGAAAGCGCTGTTCATTCCTCCATTTAAAAAACAGAGTGTCTCTTATGTGCTAGAAACCGCTAGGTGCTGGGAATCTGATAGTGATCAAAGCCGACAGAAACGCCTGGGTGGTGAAGCTCACGTTTTAATAGGGGAGACAGACTAGAAACAAAACAAAGACATTTGATAGTACATTTGGGAGATAAATGCGATGGAGGAAAAGAAAGCCAGGCTGTGGGGGTGAGGGGGGTGGGAGGCACCAAGCCTTCTAAATGTTCTTCTCCTGGACAGATGTGCTCCTTAGATGAGGAGGTGATAGTGACTCCTGAGCTCTTTTATCTTTGTCTCTATTGATCTGAATTTGGAGCAGACCTGTTCTGTGCTCGGCTCTGGGGGTGACTGCGTGGCCCACGCACCGCAGCTCTGGGCAGACAGAGCCAACTTTGGCCATTTCATTTCATTGGCTCCCTGACCAGCAGAGAACAGTGGTGAGGGGAGAGAAGCCAGCTTTACAGTCAGATCTCATAAAAAGGAGCCCTGGTGGTGCAACGGCTAAGCGCTCAGCTGCTAACCGGAAGGTTGGCGGTGCGAACCGGCCAGCGGCTCCACGAGAGAAAAGACCTGGCGATCTGCTCCCGTGAAGATTACAGCCTAGGAAACCCTATGGGGCAGTTCTACTCTGTCGTACGGGGTTGCTATGAGTTGAAATTGACTCAACGGCACTCAACAACAACAACTCATCGTAAAAACACAGTGACAGCAGGTTCAGGATACGGCTTTTCGGACTTCAGAACTCATTATTTAAATAAAACTTTCCCACTTGTAGCATCTGGAGGATGATGCTGGAATTAAAATAGCTGCTTGTCAGGAGAAGACCCTGTTTCACACTTGCAAATTGTTTGAGAGGTAGAGGAAAGGATCATCTCCCAAGTCCACAGGTTAGCAGAAGTATGTTCACGCCCAAAATGAATTAAATGACAACGATGTTGTGACAAAATTCTTGAGAAACCTTTGTTTCTGCCTTTGCACCTGTCTCAAAAATAGGGACCTGAATTCCCCCACGATCCCAATGATAGGATCCGATGGGTCTTTGGGTTGTGACGCAGGCACCAGCAGCTTTCCTCGCTCCCTGCCTCCCTGGGGGGAACACCTTCAGGCCTTGACGCCCGCCTGTCTGGCCCGTGGAGAGAGCTGGAGCTGAGGGACCTGGAGGTGGCAGGGGGTGGGGGGTGGGGATGGGGGTGGATTTAACTGACTAGGGAAGGAGGTGCGATTTGCATTACAAAAAAATCAAAACCCATAGTGACCCTGTAGGACAGAGTAAAACTGCCTCATGCAGTTTGCAAGGCTGTAATCTTTACAGAAGCAGACTGCCACCTCTTTCTCTCACAGAGCAGCTGGTGGGGTCAAACCTGCTGACCTTTCATCATTTGGCAGGTGAGTGCTTAACCACCGGTCATCATTTAAATGTACTTATTTGCATGTAAATAAAAGCACCTTAGGGCTTCATTACTGAAAGTCTCCACACAAGTGTCTCTGACAGTTATGTGCCTGCATTAAAAGAAAACCCACCCTTTCCTCTCATTAATATCCTTTCAGTGTTTAATATTTAACAAGTCCATAATAGTACAGTAAAACCTGCTAAAGCCAGAACCTGTGGAAGGCGGAAATTAGAGAAGGAAAAGTCAGATATTTTCCACTAAAATGAGCAACAGAAAAGTGTTAAGACTGCACCCTGTCAAAGGTGGAAAACTTGTGAGACCCGGAAAAACAAGGCAGTCCGGTCAAGTTCCAGCTCCCACAAGTTTCCCTGTAACCGCATCTCCGCACCCAAGGTGTAGAATTCACTTCCTGTCTCTCCATCCTTCTACCTTCAGTATTGTCGACTCTGCAGGGACAGCACGCATCCCAATGTGAAGGGGTACCTGAATTCTTTTATGGAGGGCTGCGTAGTCCTCGAAAATGAGAAGAAATAGAGTTTGATGTCTCGAGGCCTGTGGTCCAGTTTGAACTATTGGGAATATGTTTTGTGGGTTTTTTCTTTTAATGATAGAGAATTGAGGTGTTAAATTTATGGTACTACAAAATCCAGGAAGCTTACAGTGAAAAGAGTGTGAACTTAACCTGAAAAATATTTCTCTGTTCTATAAATCTCTCAGTGACATTTGGATTAATCAAGCATAATTAAATGTAGTTAGATTTTTGTCAGATTGTAGTTCAAAATAATATTCATCTATGGAGAGGGTAATATATTCTGTAGAAATTTTATTAAGCACTTTAGTTAAGCAAACACTAAGGAGAACAAAATCAGCCTCAGGAAGGTTAATTACTGAAAAAACACAAAGTATAGTAGATTATGTAAATCGTTTTAATTTTGAATACCATGGCTTAAGCTTTAATTTACATAGAGAAGTAGTTTGGATTTGTTTTGAACGTTATAGTTTCCAAAAGTACAGAATTGCAATTGCATTCTTCACAAGTTCTAATCATTTTTAGGATTCTATTAAGTTTGCTCAACTTTTTCGTTTCCAAAAGTAAAGAATTAGAGCTGCACTCTTAAAATGCAGTGAATTATTTTAGGATTCCACTGAGTTTGTTTAAATGGTAAGAACTGTAATTTTGATTTTTGTACCTTTTAAAGAAGTTAGGGTTTTAAGAGGAGCATTAGGAGAGAAAATGTAGGTGGCAGCATCTTGCTTGGGCCTGGCCTCTTAGTAAATGTTAATTTTTTAAAAAATGAACCTTTTAAAAAATGTAAAACAGAAGAGTATAGACTATAATGATGAATGTTTTAGTAATTTCTTAAAGGGAGAAGTAAAGTGATCAAATGGATTTTGTATATATTTTGTACTCAGAGAATTAAATTTTGCCTACCCTTGCATGTCTCAGGGAATAGCCCATGACAAGAATCCCCCATGGAAATTTCTGGAACTCTGACTGCAGTGTGTTCAGATTTAGTTCTTGTCTTCAGTTTCCAGAGCTAGAGTTTCAGAAGTATTGTCATCTCAGGAGCATGCGATGACCCAAGAAACCCAAACCTTGCTCTTATCCCTAGTCAGAGTCGATGTACTTTAGGCTTTTTCATGATAAATGGCACCCACATTTCCTTTGTCCAGTGGGTAGTCAAACAAAGATCTCTTTATCTCACTGCTTCGAGATTTTCGTAGAGAACAAAACTCCTACAATTGAATTTTGTTTAATAATTTTGCCTCTTGGCTTTTCAGTGAGAATTGTTTTCCATTGGAATTGAATTATTTCAGGAAAATAAAATTTTACTTGAAGAGAACATTTCATTAATTAATTCTAACTTCCTGTTAACCTGAAAGTGGCCTGTTGATTTGAATTCTATGCATAATTTTTGCAAAACAACACAAATGTCAGAGATCATATATGTACTAAGCAAAACGTTTACCCTACAGTTAGAAAAGTAAATCTCTAACCATGGCACGTATGACTGGTTTAGCTGCTCTCAGATTCATCTTTCCCTTCCAAAATGGTTGAAAATGGCAAATTTAGAATGGAATGCATATTAATGACTACTTAATGTTTAAAAATATCCTTACCTTGAGATTCTTTTTGAGAGGAAAAAAAATGAATCTCGACATTTAGTTCTAACTCTGTTTTGGCTATTTTTATATACTAGGTATTAAAAGGAGCCCTGGTGGTACAGTGGTTAAGAGCTTGGCTGCTAACCAGAAGGTTGGCAGTTTGAATCCACCAGGTGCTCCTTGGAAACCCTATGGGGGCAGTTCTACTCTGTCCTCTAGGGTCACTATAAGTCAGAATTAACTCGACGGCAGCGGGTTTTTAGGCATTAAAAAAGGCGATTCCAAAAGTTTAATCTGATTGGAAGTCAGCAGGATTCACCATTTAGCCATACTATTTTATAAAAGTATAACAAAGGGTTTGTGAAAGCGGATAGTATGGGTATAAAATGTTACATTGTTTCTAATATATCACGGCACCCTTTTCTGACAAACTCCATTTTCCTTTTGCCATTTATTTTAACCGTGTAACCTAAATTAGTATTCCAAAAGGCACTATACTTACACTAAGAACTGGCTTATGCTTTGATCTGAACTAAATGCTGCGGTTAGTATCCCACATGTTTAGTCTTAGAATATTTACAGCAAATGCCTGTAACTGTGAGGATCTGGAAACAGCTGGGACTGGGACGGCTCAACATTGAAGTGCGAGCCAGTTTCTCAGGCCCACGTGGTGATTGATGTCAGGAGGCAGGTTTTGCCTGGCTGCTATAACCAGTGTAAAACGCAAAATAGTAGAGACTTTACGAGATCCAGTATCTGCTACCTTTTTCTCTAGATGCATGTGTAAGCCTTCCTGGGGAAAACATCACAGAAAGTCCTTTGGTATCTTGCTTTTCACTTTTAAAAGTTTCTGTTAGAGCTGGCATGTGAATTTGACCGATAAATTGTGCACATACTTAAAATCTTTTTGGACTAAGTCAAACTAAGTCTATTTTGACTTTGAATGGGCAAACCAAGGCAAGGTTTACCTAAAAAATATAAAGTACTGCATATTTTAAATTTTTAAATGGACTTTTTAAAAAATGCCTTCGTTTTCATTCTGTTGATCGTTACAATGATTTTTCCTCATGCGGCACTGCTCCAGAACTGAATGTTATTACCTTAGCATTCCGTCTAACCCGAATTTCTGCAGAGTTTCTTCCTAAAATCATTTGAGGTTGTAATTCCTGCTCAAGGTTTATGTACACACAAACCATCTGTTGCTTCCTGGTTCACATCCTCCCAAAAAGTACACAAGTGCTTGAAATTTAAATATTTCCCAGATTTAGAACGCAAGTGGTAAATACTTAAGAAATGCTTCAAGCAAATAGGAAAAGCCCATGCAGAGTAAAAATACCATTGTGAGCGTATCGAACACGGAGATTAAACGTAAAGTTACTTTGCTGTTCTCATGTGCCTGGTACACACTGTCAGGAATGAAAGATGACTTTGGCTTGAGGTAATTGATCACTCCACTTTCCACAGAGAAGAGTGTTCTGTTGCTGTGAGAGTTGGCAAAACATGACTAGAGAAGCGTGTGGCTCAGACACTGTTTCCCATTAAGTTGCGGAACCATCTGTGGCCAAACTAGGGCAGGAGCTCCTGGACAATTCTGTACCACAATCATCTGAACAATAAAACAGTAGTCATGACTCACCGCGCATCAGTGTGGTGTTTTCTCATAG